GTGACACCAATGGCACTGTCATCACTTACTGTGAGACCTGGAGCTGCTCAGGGATCAGGCATTCTGACCTCGGTGGCTCAGTCACCACTGCCCAAAAGAGCCAGCATGTTGCTGCCACCGTCCCTGTGGCCTGCCCTGTGTGTGCACATGGGTCGCCTGTTGTGTTACGTGGTGCCTGTCCTAGGTATCACCTGTCATATGTGGGTATGAGTCTCATCCACATCCCAGGGGCAGCTAGGTGGATGTGGGGTCCTCGTGGGGACCATGACCCTGGTAAGAGGAGCAGGACTGAAGCCGCACCCCCACACTACGCCACACACCTGGGTCACCTCAGTCTGCTCCACATTGGAGACTTGGTCCTTCAGCATAATGAACTTGGAGATGAACTGTGACGTCGTAGATCCACTGTCCAGACATGTCCCCTCCCCATGTTCACCCAGCCCACCTAAGACCCACGTCCTTCCAAAAGTCACCCACCCTGCATCCAAGTGCCCATTAGCCCAGTGTCTGGTCACCAACTCCAACTGGAGCTCTGCTGGAATCCCGCCAGGAGGAGGTTGCCACCTTCCAGAATGCTCCCTTCCCCCGCAGGTACTGATGGGACCTGGAAGGACTTGCTGTGTGACAGTGTCTGGGTCTGCTTGTCACTGAAAATTTACAAGCGAAGCAGGCTGCTTTCCCTCCAACATGTAGACAACGTCTCCTCTCTGCCGTGCCCTTAGAGGACCAGGTGCTGAGGGGCCGGCTGCCTCTTTACAGACTGTCCCGGGAAGCTGTGGTTCAGATGGGAGGGGGGCGCCTTGCACGGCCACAGCACCTGGCTTCAGGGCCCACTAGAGGCTCGAGAAGGCAGTGGGGGGCAGAGAGAGGAGAGGGGGGGGCCACAGAACATGGGCAGGAGACCCAGTGCTGAAGACGGCGTGGAGGGGAGGCAGGAGCGAGGGTCTGGCCTTCAGCCTGGGGCCCAGGGGCTTGAGCGGGAGTCGCGTGGCCTCAGCAGAACACCAGGGGAGAAGCCACAACCCCCCACGGTGCCCTTCAGGGGTCTTCACAGAGGGGTCTGGGTCTTCTCTGTCACGGTGGGCACCTGCAGATGCTTAACACTGCCTGGTTCGCCACCAGCTTCTGGGCATCCTAGCTGAGGCTGTGGCCCAGGACAGTGACCAAGTGTACCTGGGCTCCAGTCACTACTTCCCAGGCCCATCCTTGGTGACCCCCAACGTGACTCAGAAGTGGAACCTGCCCTCAAAGGTGTCCCTGGAAGACTGTGGCCAACATGCTGCCATAGACAAACAGGGCTGGGGCCAGGCTGCCTGCTGCCACAGTGCCCCAGAGGCCACATCAGCCAGGCACACACCTCAGGCGCTCTGAGACCCCCCAGTCAGGACAGTACAAAAATCTCTTTATTGCTTATTTTCTATAAAAAGTCAGGCTCTCCTAGGAAGTGCAAAGCGGGAGTCACAAGCGGTCCAGCAGCGCCCCGGGCTGGGGCGGGGTCCAGTGGCGTCCCTCAGGGCTTGGCACCGCCGCGGTTCCAGTGGCCCTGGGCTCTGGGGTGGCTTCCGGACCCAGATCACGGAGGGCGCAGGGCTCCCGGGACCGGCCACCCGGGGCGGCCGTGCGGCCAGCGAGCAGGGCGCC